AGCTATGAGAAGAATTAACAACGTCCATAAAGAAAGTTGCCCTAGTCTGGCATCAAAAAGGACAAAAATGCAATTAAATGTTTACTGAAGCATAGATAACCACCATAATTTAATAAAGCATCGAAGTTCGTCACTGAGTTAAGTCCTCTGAATTTGATCGCAGCAATGTCGTAAGCTTCCGCAGCTTCCTCCTCAATATCTGTATTTAGTACAAATCATGATTAAGCACGGTTTAGGTTCATTTTTTGATGGGGAAAATCATGAACTCACTGAAGTTCCTAGGTAAAGATCTTGTTTCTAGCAACTGCCGATCCTTGCCTGCCATCGACCGTGCTGATGATGCCTGTATATAGATTCATGTTCGTTAGAGGTGGAGAAGATCATGCATGGAGCTCTGTTCACTTTGACAATAATACCTCGTACTCCACGATACATGGATGCACCCCTTGAAAAACCACTGCTCTTCCAGGTATATAAACATTATAAACAGTAAATATATATATATATAGTTTCTTGTCTAGTTCCAAAATCTGCAAATGAATCTCTTGTTGTATGTATGTGTATGCGTGTACCTTCTAATGGAAGCAAAAAATTCCTGTCTAGTCATGTGCTTCATTTCTTCAAGCTCATTCTCATAATGCTAATCTAGAAAAGCATGCACAAGAAGAAAATCAGCATTTAAAACTTGAGTTCTCAAAAAGGCCAGGTATGATGTATTTTTCATAAATACTTGTAACGAAATTTAAATCATCATTATAAGTGGTTGTTTGACATTGTAGGACCGAGAGCATGTTGGTGTTGCTAGTAGGCAACAACAAAAGTTTACACACACGGCTGGATCGAAGAGCTTGCTTGTATAGCTCATGAGGAGGTATTATAGATTATTGAAATAGTTTTTTATTTCATGTACATACTAACTCATAGTAATGACATTATGGTACATTGTAGGAAAATACATCCTGTTCTAAAGTTGGTCGAATCCAACTCTTCGACATGACACATACGAAGAAGGATGGCACTCCTATGACTGCTGACGCTGCAAAAATTATGGTACGTTTATTGGGTAGATGTTTTAAATTTACCTGACTTTATTTATATTTGTACCATGACATTTTTTATTTTAATTAATTATTTACTGTATTATTAGGAAAATTGAGGGAGAAAAGGGCGGAGTATCATGCTACTGCTTCGAGTCAAGGTATTGTTAATGATGATGACATTGAAAACCAAGCTATTAATGATGTTTTGGGTCCTGAAAGATATGGACGGGTGCGCTGTCAAGGATCATTCGTTACTCCCACCAAATATTTTGGATCAGTTCATCACAGTACATGTCATCACAGTCTCGATCTTCCCAATTAGAAGTTGGTCGTTTAAAAGAAAGTTGGCTGGGAGGATCAACAAATGGCTAACTTGAAAGCGGAAAATGAAGCAAGGGAAGCCGAGAGAGCAGCAGAAGCAGAGAGAGAAGCAGTGGCAGCACAGAGAGAATCAACATATCAGCAGAGATGTGAAGAATTTGAAAAATGACTCAATGATATGATGTTGATGATACAAAAAACGCAACCTCAAATCCACCATCGTAGCCTCATTTATGTTATGAACATTATGTTAATGTTACTGAACCGTGTTTAACTTAACTTATATTACGTTAATGAAAACTTTTATTTATTTATTGGATTTGATGTTGCTTGTTATAGATATAAGTTTGATGTTATTACTGTTTTGTTTGTTGGATAATGGAATAGGTTGAAAAAATAGATTTGGGGTATTAAGCATAATTTTTAGAACTGTTAAATTCTGTGTTATTTAGCGGCGTTTGTAACAAAAACGCCGTAATATACCATACATTTAGCGGCATTTGTATCATAAAACGCCACTATATACCAATTTTTAGCGGCGTTTGCATTAAAAACGTCGCTAATGGCGGCGTTTTTCAACAAACGCCGCTATATGTTGTGACATTGTGGTTTTTGTTGAAAATGCCGTGAACTTTAGCGGCGCTATTTTCAGTGGCGCTTTTAGTGGCGTTTGTCATAACGCCGCAGGTGTTTTAGCAGCGCTTATAAACGCCGCTATAAGTAAAAAAACGCCGCAACAAGCCACTTTTGCTGTAGTGAGTTTGTTGGATCATCAATCACGGGGTCTTCGAAAATCGATATAAAGGCAGCTGTCGTAGATGATGATGGAGTCGATCCTGATTGTCAATGGCATTACATGGGGAAGTTCGGCCATATCAGTGAAATGCTTCTTGTTGTTCTTGGCAGCCGAAACTGATGTATAGCATCCGCTTGCTAACTCCCATACGTCGTCACATCATGCGAAATCAAGATTGCAGAATGGTAAAATCCTAATAAAATATGATAAAGACACAAGAGGATGAGGTTAATTCATTCATAAATTCGAGTTTTTCTTCTTGTAGATATTTGCAGCAGGAGTTCATAATGTGATGCAAAGAGAATTAGACAGATTACCCTTAAAGATCATTTTGGGTTTATAAAAAGTAATTTCATAAATTAAAGGCTTAAAATAAAAAAGTACCCAAAAGCATGTCTCTGATTCAGTTTAGTACCTGACGTTTATTTCGTTCTAATTGTTGCATAACTTTCATTCTATAATTTAGTTTGGGTCAGGCCATGATGGATAGTTAATTTCAGCCGTTAAATGCCACCTGTCATTTGTTTAATTAAAATATGAATTTAGTAATTAAAATAAAAAAATTAATAATGAAAATTGAAAAAAATAAAAAGTTAAAACCTTTTAACTATTTACCCTTTCCCTCTCTTCTCCTTCACTCTCTTCCCCATCACTCTGCATTAATCTGAAAATTTTGAAGAAGATGACCAACGCCGTTGGTGCCAGACACGTTAGAGGTTGTGATAGCTGTATAAAGAGAAGGGCTCGATGGTACTGTGCTGCCGACGATGCTTTCTTTGCCAAGCCTGCGATTCTCGGCGAATTCGCTTGCTCGTAGACACATACGAGTTCGCCTCAAAACCGCTCGGTTAAGTCATCGGAGAGCTTTTCGCCGTAGGGATCGAGGGTTACTAAAAAGGCAAGGACAAAGAGACCCGTGAAGGGCTCCAAAAGGAAGAACGACCCCGTTTCTATGGTGCCGGAAATCGGTGCGATGAGATATCGCATGAAGAGAATGAGAGAGCAGTTGCTTTATAGGGTGACGATATTTGGTCCCTTTGTTGCTGAATTATGCACTTCGACCGACTCTAAAGCTATATTGGTTGACAGTTGCATGGGGTTTTCCCTTCCGAGATGGATCTTGCATAGTTTGCCGCCGATGTCAAGAGTTTGCTCGGTAAGGGTCTCGAGAACGAGTCCTTAATTCGCAATGGAGGAGCTGGGGCTAATTGACTCCAATGAAGATTTTAGAGACTGTTCAATGATAACGGTAAAGTGATGGTTGAAGACGAAGAGGGTTTCGAACCGTTGAGTTAAGCTTTAACTATGATTCCCTGGCAAAGCTGCGGCTTCGAAACGTTTGAGTTAAGCTTTAACTATGATTCCCTGGCAAAGTGCGGCCGAGAGGATGAGTTTGTAAAGGAAGAAGTAGTAAATAAGAGTAAAGGGGAAGTGGAATAAGATGACAATAAAACAAAAACGAAGAAGAAGAAACCATTTTTGAGCTTAGATTATGAAGCAATCATCTCTTCCTGGGCAACCCAAGGCTCCCCGTGGATGTCCGGTGGCCGACCAGAATTTTAACGCTACGAATGCTGACGATTGTACGGGAAGAGAGTGAAGGGGAAGAGAAGGAATATGATTAGGGTTAAAGTTATTTTTAATTTTCATTAATTAATTTTTATTATTTTAATTACAAACTTCATATTTTAATATTAAACAAATATCAGGTGACATTTAACGTCCGAAATTAATAGTTCGTCACAATTTGACCTAAACTGATTTATAGAGTAAACGTTAGATATTAAACTAGAACAAAATAAACCTCAGGTAGAAAAATGAAACCAAATGCATAAGTTGGACACGTTTTTATATTTAAGCCTAAATAAAAGATTACAAAAGTTTGAATTACGAACAGTATCTTCGAACTTATTTCTTCTTCATTCTACTGTGGATTGTAACGCGCTTGAGTGATAATTAGTTTGATGAATGAATGAAAACAATTTAATATCGCCAGCCGTCTTAGCTCAGCCGGTAGAGCGCGTGGCTTTTAACCACGTGGTCGTGGGTTCGATTCCCACAGACGGCGACGTGGTTTTGAAGATTTCGCTTGAAGACGTGATGGTGAAGACACATTCCATGTTTTTAACTCAACTCAAAGTAAAGTCAATCACAGGACTATTCGGCTTGACGTCTCAGGTCGTGAGGTTGAAGATGAACCCAGTGACACTGACGGGGTTTGTTGCTGTAAGTCACAATTGTTTTCATCAGGAATGTTCATCAACAAATTATGCCTGGGATAATTCATCAACAAATCACTGATATGCCTACCATTGTTGAACTTGTGAATTGTTCTTTAGTTGGAAAGAAAATTATGGATTATGTTGTTAAATTGTTTGAACCTTGAAGTTACAATATAAACTCACAGGTTGCAAATCAAGGGGGTACTGATCTCTGTGGAGCCTGGCAGCTGCTGGTTCGATTGCAGCTCTTTCCACCAAACCTTTCTTTTGGTTGCAGATCAAAGGAGCAATACGCTGTTACAACCCTCACCGACGGTCCTCGGTGGCAACCTGCATTTTGGTATGTACTAGTTCATTCACGTTATCATCCCTATCCCATGTGATTGATCAATCCAACAAACCGCACAATGAAATCGGCCCGCTCCACAACGCATTCAAGAAAGCAATTGCAGCAACAGATGGAGACAATGAAAAGAATTCTTGCAGACAGAGTGTAATAACTTGGATCTTTTCCATCCATAAACCCAGTACTGTAACGAATAAGTTTATTTACTTTTAATTGAGTTAAAAAAAATCATCTGCACCATCACATCTTCAAGCGAAATCTCAAAATAAAAACATCGTCATCGCCGTGGGAATCGAACCCACGACCACGTGGTTAAAAGCCACGCGCTCTACCGGCTGAGCTAAGACGGCTTGCGTTCAGACACAAACAATGTTTATTTTGTAAATAATCAGAGTACAGCTTGGATTAAGATTGAATTCGAATAAAGGAATGTATTTGTTATTCGATTTCAAATTTATGTGTAATGAAAAATATATGTAAAGAATGCAAGTAAATGGTTTTCTTTAAATTGGACTATAGATTTTGTTTTTTTGTCTGAATTCCGACAGTACCACCTCAAATGCAGATTCTTGTCCTTCAACCAAAACATTTCTTTCAGCCTGGAAATGGTCTTTTAAAGGGTATTCTATGTAATTCTGTTTGCATCACATTATGAACTCTTTCTGCAAATATGTTTACAAGAAGAATAAAATGTCAGAATTTTAGGAAAATTCACCTCATGTGTCTTTTGAAGTTGATTCAAATCCAATCTACCTACAACAAGTGATTAACATGATCAAAATCAGCAGTGCAGCAGAGGCCGCATGTGTATGATACAGACAAAACTACAAGTGTAACTCCAAGCATACGAGCTATGAAGGAAGTTACTCCTCAATTTAAACAAACTCCTCAACCAGTTTTCCAAAATCAAACTTCCCATACAGCACTCCACAGCATTCACAACTTCTCGGAACGTTGCGATGCTGCACGGAACGACGAGTTTATCCCTCTGTTCAAAGCCATATTCATTGTAAGACTTCTCCAACAACATCTTGAAGAGTGGATGAGACAAGTAGCTGGTCGGCACTACAAATCTTGTTCCTCCTCTCCGACATAGACGGCGAAAGACCCCGACGGCGTCGGCGGCGAAGACATTTGCTCGAATTCCCCTCAGCAAACATTCGTATTTTGAATCCTCTCCATCCCCTCCACCACCTATGCTCTTCACCTTCTTGGCTAGCTTCTTCAAGGAACCATCTTTTTCCCCAACATTTTGCTTTGGTGTCTGGAACTTGAAAGAGAGGGAATTTATGGGGTGGCTAAAGAAGGGAATTGAGGAGGAAAAATGCCATCTTTTGACTTGTCAATAATTGGTGGAATCTGTGAACATGTGAAGAAAAATGTTCAGCATTGCTTTGACTCATTGATAGTTAAAAAGAGGCCACTTTATCTGACTTTAGGCTTCAAACAATGTCAAAGATGAATGATGATGTTGAGATTCATCCCCGTCGTTTGATTAGACATTATGCACCAGAGGATGACAAAAAAAAAAATAAAGGAATTTGGTTCTCAATCTATTAAACATGGGTGGATTAGAAAAAAGGTGGGAACTAATCAACTGCTAAAGAATCATTTCTGTATTTGAAATCGAATGCCAACCACTAATCATTGTTTTATGCTTCTTTTGAAGAAAACAAAACGAACCACTTGTGTCTCATTCGATTTCTGTTTCTGCAAAGTGGAGCCATGATGAATCAAACACTTTTAAGTTCAATGGAGATTCTGCTCCACTCTTAATGGCTCGTGTCTCATTATCTTCTTTGCTTATTTGTAATGACAAGTGAGAGAAAGAGGGTTGACAAATTATGAGATAGACGTGGACTTTTTTTCTCCAGAAAAAGGACATGGTATTAAGCCAGGCCAGAAAAAGAAAGGGGTGGCCTAGCTGGACCGGACTACGTTGAAGATGACGATCATCCATAGATCACAAATTGAGTTGACTCAGCAAAGGGCTCACAACAAGGCTATTTACTAAGATGAAGGCTTTGACAAATAAGATGTGGGATGGCGGGAATAGAGGAGGACCAATACAAATGGGAAAATGGAGAGACGCATATTTGAAGAAGGATTTTTTAATTTTCAGTAATGCTTCTCGACCCTCCTCCAAGTGATTGATACTTGGAGTTGGGACCCTTTGACTAATGCTAGTGCCTTAATATGTTGACTCAACGCCTCTACTATCCACGGACTGTATCCAATATATTTAATTACTTTATTATTTAACTCAAAAAAGTAATATATTCTCTACAACCTAAAATTATATATTTGTATTAATTAAATGAGAATTTTTATCGTTGATGGTATAAAGGTATCAACGCTGATGATAGGTGATTCATTCATTCATTTTAATTTAGATGGAGAATCGTATTTGGTGATATTTTTAATGATGGAAGTCAAGAGAATCGGTTGAAAATAAATATAATAAAGAAGACGAATAGTTCAAAAGGTTTAATCTATCCTTTCTGGTTTTGTATGAGAATTTATATATTAATCCTTATTGCATGCGGGTGTTAAGTTTAATGTCAAAATTACTATTCATATGTATGCATAATGAATAACCTTAATAAATACAATCGTCTGACAATAGATTGATCCTAATACATCTTATGTTTGTATAGGGATGGGCGTAGGTCGGGTCGAATCGGGTTTTCGGTCCACTCGACTTGACTCGAAAATTATACATCCTCCACCTGACCCAAATCTGACCCGTAAAATATACACCTGACTCAATCCTGACCCGCCTTTTTGAAATAAAATTCGAACCCGACCCAACCCGAAATAATATATTTATTAACAAATATTACTTTTATTTAATAAAAATAGGGATTTAATTAAAAAAATAATATATAGACCAAATTTTTAAAAAAAAAATCTGAATCGATCGGAACCCATTTGATTTGAGTCTCGTGCTCATCCCTAGGTTTATCGGTAGTCATGTTAAAGGATTGTGATTAATTAATAAATATAATAAAACGTTACCATATGATGTTTGAGTTAAATTATACGTTCCAAACACTCTTCATATGAATGCATGTGACTGAAATATGAAATATGAATTATATACCAAAATGATTATCTATATATGTTTGGCATGTTTATATTTCTAAATGAATGAGACATAGTCAAATCATAAATATGAAAAAAAAAACTTTAAAGTGATTTGGTTACAAGAACAATTGACTTTGCTTGCCTTGTCTTAATGTTAAAATGGTACAAATTTAAATATATGTCAAATTACATTGTCAATATATATAAAATATTAAAAATAATTAAAAATATAGGAAATTACTATTATATTTTTTACTGTGTGATGATATTCAATAAATAGTATTAGACTCAAGTTTATGGGAATCATTCTTATTTGGATGAATTTGGGATGAAATTGGAATGTTTAAAAAGTTCATAGACCAATTTAGAATGAGGGTTATAGTTTGTGGATGAAATTGAAATGGACTAATTTAAAATAGGATCATAGTTTGGGGATGAAATTGGAATATTCAAAAGTTCAAAGACAAATTGAAATAAGAGTTATAGTTTAGGGACATGTGATGCAATTAACTTTATTTTTTTCCATATTTTTATCCTTTAAATTTAAACAAATTCTTAATTTTCATTTTCCCCTTAAAATTTAAATAAACCGTGGATTTTTTTAAAAGAAATTAATGAAGGCAAATTGGAGGCTTTCTAGCTTTGTAGAGGAATAATGTAAGGTAAGGCGATGTCGCTCTCTTCAACCTCAGCATGGAGTATGTAAGCGATGGAGAATCGTATTTGGTGATATTTTTAATGATGGAAGTCAAGAGAATCGGTTGAAAAGAAAATAAAAAGAAGACGAATAGTTCACAAGGTTTAATCTATCCTTTCGGTTTTGTATGAGAATTTTATATTAATCCTTATTGCATGCGGGTGTTAGTTTAATGTCAAAATTACTATTCATATGTATGCATAATGAATAACCTAATAATACAATCGTCTGACAATAGATTTGATCCTAATACATCTTATATGTTTGTATAGGGATGGCGTAGGTCGGGTCGAATCGGGTTTTTCGGTCCACTCGACTTGACTCGAAAATATACATCCTCCAACTGACCCAAATCTGACCCGTAAATATACACCTGACCAATCCTGACCCGCCTTTTTGAAATAAAATTCGAACCCGACCCACCCGAAATAATATTTTATTAACAATATTACTTTTATTAATAAATAGGGATTTAATTGAAAAAATAATGTAATTCCAATTATCTCTAAATATTAAGGTAAAATTATATTTTTTGGGTAGAATATTTTTCACTCTAAACATGACCCGAACCAGTCAGAACACAACTTCTAAAAAATCAGACTCGAACCCGAATTCTTTTTTTTTAAAAATCTGAATCGATCGGAACCCATTTGATTTGAGTCTTGTGCTCATCCCTAGGTTTATCAGTAGTCATGTTAAAGGATTGTGATTATTAATAAATATAAAACGTACCATATGATTTTGAGTTAAATTATACGTTCCAAACACTCTTCATATGAATGCATGTGACTGAAATATGAAATATGAAATATGAATTATGAATTATATACCAAAATGATCTATATATGTTTGACATGTTTATTTCTAAATGAATGAGACATAGTCAAATCATAATATGAAGGAAAAAAAAAACTTTAAAGTGATTGGGTTACAAGAACATTGACTTGCTTGCCTTGTCTTAATGTTAAAATGGTACAAATTAAATATATGTCAAATTACATTGTCAATATATATATAATATTAAAAATAATTAAAAATATAGGAATTACTATATATTTTTACTGTGTGATGATATTCAATAAATAGTATTAGACTCAGTTATGGGAATCATTCTTATTTGGATGAATTTGGGATGAAATTGGAATGTTTAAAAGTTCATAGGACAATTTAGAATGAGGTTATAGTTTGTGGATGAATTGAAATGGACTAATTTAAAATAGGATCATAGTTTGGGGATGAAATTGGAATATTCAAAAGTTCAAAGACCAAATTGAATAATAGTTATTTAGGGACATGTGATGCAATTAACTTTATTTATTTTTCATATTTTTATCCTTTAAATTTAAACAAATCTTAATTTTCATTTTCCCCTTAAATTTAAATAAACCGTGGATTTGTTTTTAAAGAAATTAATGAAGGCAAATTGGAGGCTTTCTAGCTTTGTAGAGGAATAATGTAAGGTAAGGCGATGTCGCTCTCTCATTCTCAGCATGGAGTATGTAAGATAGTAATGATGAGAAATGGCTCCCTCTTAATGAATTCTACTCGATCTCTGCCTCGGATCTCTCGGACTTTAAATTTCTCGTACCTTTTGTCGTAACCATTCTTCGGTGGGTCCGAAATTGAGTTTCGACTTAATTTTGATGTGATAGAGCCGCTTCCGATCATTTAAAATTAGGTTGATCGATATCCTTTTACCTGATACATTATTACCAGAATGAATCGGATTTGAGAGTCGATTACAGTCTGGGAAGGTTAGCTCCCTCTTATTGCTCTTTCGGTACTAATTTAATTTATCGGTTGTCTTAATTACGAAAATTAAAAGTTAAATTAAATTTAAAAGTTCGATCCGAATCACTTACCCCTTTGACGAATTTGAAATTTTTCTAAAAATAAAATTAATATTAGGCCGTAAGATAGAATAAATAAAGCAAAATTGAAAAGAATTAAAGTTAGAGTTAAAATAAAAATAGATTTAAAAAACAATAAGATAAAAAAATTGATAAAATTCAAATAAATAAAAGCATACAAGAAAATTTAAGTTAAAGGATATAAGAAAGAATAAAGAAAATAGAGGATTAAATTGACGTTAATTAGATGTTGCAATGAGAAAAAAAATAAAAGTTAGGGGGCTAATTCGCAAAAATAAAATATAAAAAATGATTAAATTGAATAAATTACAAATTTGAGGGAAAAATTGCAGATGGTGACCAAAACGAATTATGCTTCAAATAAAGAGGACTGTAGAAAGGATTAAAAATCTCCTAATTACAACTTAGTCCTTTATAAATACCCCATTTAAACCCAAAATTCATTTCTAAATCATTTTAACAAACTCCCTCTCCTATCTTCAAATGCTCTCAATGCTTCCACCGGCCGAACATTCGGCCACTCACCGACGTAGTCCCGTCGTTGTTAACGCCGCTCCGACCACCACCATCGATGGAAAAAAAAACTAAACTCAACCAAAGTACTCTACCTAACCCCGTGAATATGAAACCAAAGTCCAATCACCCTAAAAAGACCCTAGTCAACGTAGATCTAAATTTTAGGTTCGGATTTTCACCTTTTTCGGCGAGCCTTTTCAACTTCCAGTGGTCGATTCCTTCCCGAGCGAGACTAACACTGCTTTATGTTTTTTTTGCTTACGTGAATGCTTTGCCTGGTTTCGATACTTTGTTGTCTGTTTTGGTTTTGTATCTTTTGCTGCTGGTTGCTTCTCATGGTATGTTTGTTGAGTTTTTGGCTCTTGTTTCTGTTTCTTGTTTACTTGGGTTGTATTAACAGTTTGGTTGCTCCGATCGTTGTTGTTTTTCCGTGTTCTTGGTGTGCTCATCGGAGGTATTTATGGCTCATTCGGGGGTCTGTTGTCGATTTTGAAAGGGTGTTCCCCTCATTTCCGATTTATTCGGCTTACCGTCGTTCATGTGGCCGAGAATCCCGGGATTGTGTAGTCCCAGTTTCTCGGTCGGCCGGTTCTCTTTGACTGGGACCTTGGTTGTGGTTGTTGCATGACCATTGGATTGGGTCAGATCCAACGGTCCAGATCATAATCATGTACCCCTTTAGGGTTTCACAACCCTTGATTTGCTTCAATCTTGGTTGTTCGTTCATGCCTTGATCGTGGCTCCTGTTTGCGCGACGTTGTAGCTTAACATAAAACCCTAATCGAGTTAGGGCTGGGTCAAGCCCCTTACCCGATTAGACTTCTGATGAACCCGAATTTGTACTCTTTTAGGCCTAAAAAATAAATAAATAAATAAATATAATGTAACTATAATAAAAACTATGTAAAATGTGTTTTCAAAAATCATTTTTTTAGAAAAATTACACTATATGTTTAAAAACTATATTATATACGTTTTCACAAATGTTTTCAAAATTATATTATATGTTTTCAAAAAATTTTTTAAAAACTATATATTATATGTTTCAAAAATGTTTTTAAACTATATATTATATATGTTTCGAAAAATATTTTTCAAAACTATATATATATATTTCAAAAAAGTATTTTCAAAAACTATATTATATATATTTCAAAAAATATTTTCAAAACTATATATATATATTTCAAGAAAAAAATTTTTAAAACTATAAACTCCAGACGAATGAGTGATTACATCTGTATTCATGACACAAAAGAGCTTCTGCAGTAAAATTGGTGCTCATATCCAAATAGATTATAAGAAATGGTCACATGTGTTTCTGTGGAAGATATAATCATACATCAACTATCGGTGTTTTTCAGTGCTATGATTCTTATTTCGAGTGCGAGAGGCCCGAGTTCGATTCCACTTTTCTTTTTTATCCATTTTAATTTTCCACCATACGTGGGCCGTTTCTCAATAAAGCTCAGGCCCTAATTAATTTTACATCCTACGCTTTATCTTCTCTTTTCCCCAAAACCCTCCTTTTTATTTTTTGGGTCCTCGCTGTTGCACTCCCCACAACACCAATCTTCCGTCACTATGAGCAGATCAGGGCAGCCTCCAGATCTCAAAAGTATCTTCTTTTGAATTCTTCTTCATTTTTCATATAATTTCTAATTTCTTTATCGGTACTGTTTTCTTAGAACAGGTACATGGATAAGAAGCTCCAAAGTAAGTTTCTTTTCTTCTTCTTTGCTCCTATTTCTATTTTCATGTAAGCCTAGTTTATATTCTCGTTGTTTCATGTTTCTAGTAGTAACTGCTTAAGCCTAAATTGGGTTAGTTTACTGCATAATCATTGATTACTCTTTAAGTTGAGATCAGTATTTGTATCTTGTAGCTGAAGGGTTCTAATTGCGGGTTGATATTCAATTTTAATTGTAAAGCCAATATCCCCGTTAATGTCTGCACCTAAAATGTGATTTACATCATTTTTTTGGGTCTGGCATTTAGGGTTCACAAGAATTGAGGGTTTCCCCCTTTTATATTCTCAACCTTTGTAGATTCTTATGGATGTTAATGATTATAACGCTGCATCTCCAAGAATCTATTGTGTGTCATGGTTGAATATTTGAAGAACTCAGTAGTTACATTCGATTGTAAATTAAGTGTGCATTCTTATAGTATTTGCTACTATGTCATTGCGGTTGGTAATACTTGGGTTGCTGCTGTTAATTGGTGTTGTAAGTTGCATCTTTTAAGCTGACAAATGTACGAAACCAGAGTGGCCGAAGGAGCAAAATCTGCCATCCTTTTATCCATGTACGAAACCAAAGTATAAAGATATGAAGTATGGCCGCCAAGTTAGATTCAAATTTGGAACAGTGGACCTTAGTCTCCCAAGATGTTCAAGGACGGAAAAGGAATATTAATACGGTAGAGTTTATACAACGGGCAGCTTAAAGTCTATTTTTACATGAAGCTCAACGAGTAGTCGTAGACAACAGCTCCTTAACTTTCACTTTGGTTTCTCCTTTAGGATGTTCTTGTAATTCTCGAAAAACGTACATACTTTGCATATGAACCTACTTAAATTCGAGTACTCGTAGAGTGTAATATTCTATTTTATTACTGATGGTCTTAATGGGCTCTTACGGAGATTTTAAAGATTCTATCATTATATTTAAATTTATGTATTGTGATACATAAAAAAATGAAGAATTAGAGGTAAGATCAAGAAATCACAATATGGATATAAAACGTTTCTCTGCTTTGCAGGGGAGACAGTTATAAGAGAAAAATAATGGGTTATATTTTATGAATAATATATGATCTACAGCTCATCTAACAGGCAACAGCTCCTAAATGGAATAAGCATTTGCCTTGTATCGCCAAATGGCAAAATTTGATGTGGAAAGAGGTATGCACATGTTTGGTGGCAATTTTTAAAGATTTTGAGGATACAATGGCAGCTTAATTCACTTGGACATTACTTTTCCTCCTTTCGTTTCTCATTCTTGGCATTTGTTTAACTCATTAATTGTATTGTTAATGAGAATATAGTTGACTAATCCATAGAAGCAAATGCTTTGGTAAGACAATGGAGATCATCATTAATCTCTTGTATTTATCTGTTCCTTTTTCCTATCTAATACTTACAAATATGAGGATGATTAGAGAATACTCTATGGATTTTCTTAAAAACATCTTCACCAAACCTTTGCTTCTTTATCATTTATCTAGGGGAACCTTGGCACGCAACATACAAACAAGCAATTCTTCTTATAGCAAATGAAGTTGAACAGTACATATCAAAGGCTTAAACTAAAAAAAAAAATCTTTCAATTATATATATATATATTGCTTTAAGCCCCTAAACTATCTTTTGATCAAAATAAATCCTTAAATTATATCTTTTTTTGCTTTAAGTACCTGAATTAGTTTTTAGTCAGAACAAATATCTACTTTTGTGCCCATGTCAATATGTTATTGGCCGAAAAAAATTATAACTGAAAAAATAGTAGGATATAAAGTAATTACATATAATAATTTAAAGACTTATTTTGACAAAAAATAATAATTTAAGAACTTAAAATAAAACGAGTATAATTTTCTTTTTACTTGAAGCAACAACAACAACAAAACCTATTCCCATATGCAATGGGGTAAGGGGAGGTAGGTTAATAGACTGCCCCCAATACCAGGTTGAGAGCAGCTTCCGTGGAAGACCTCCGGCAGTTAAAAAAAATTAAAAGTAAAGATAGAAATGGCATGCATGTATAAATAAATAAATAAATAAATAGTTGAACAGTCTTCATATGCAGTCTACATATGTGCGTCTGAAATGTGAAGTAATCACTGTATAAAAATCTCTGCATATAGACAGAAACGTAAGACCCGACTAATATTTAAAAAGAGCAAAACTTGAAGTAAAGGATACACAAAATTCAACGATAGCAAGCAACGAGAAGGAATAAAGTCAAATGTGTTAAAACCTAAACTAAAGCAACACTACTCCGCTACCGTAGTTCTAAGCCTTCATAAATTCCAATGACAGAAACGTATAAAAAGAAGAAGTCATGGAAATTACTACAAATACATAAAAAGAAGACAGAGATGATATACCCTATGGATGTGATATGTACTACTCAGTTACCCTGATCTTAAGTCTTCATACTTTCCTATCAGAGGTCATGTCCTCAGTAAGGGTTAAATCCTTTAAATCAAATCTCAAGCAGTCTTCCCACTTCCGCCTTGGTCGTCCTCTCATTCTGGCACGTCGACTGTAATCGACTCCACCCTCCTGACCGCATCCGATGGTTGTCGCCTAAGGACATGTCCAAACCACCGTAGTCTTCCCTCTCTCAATTTTTCGGTATAGGCACCACCCCCAAGGACATCCTAATAGCAGAGTTTGGTGTCATGTCCCACAGAGTCCTACCACATGCCCATCGAAACATTCTCATTTCTACGGCCTCTATCCTCCTTACGTGATCCTTCTTGATTGCCCAACATTCTGATCCATACAGTAACGCTGGTCTTATTGCCATTCTATAAAATTTTTCCTTAAGTTTTAGAGGCACCTTCTTATTAAACAAAACTCTGATAACAGCCTTTCACTTTAGCCCCACCTTTATAAGGTAAACCAAAAAAAAGCAAAGTGAAAGGGGACAAATTGTAGGGTTTTGAGCCTCTTGGATATATTTCCTAGGAAGCTGGTGGGGATCCACATGATCTTGTAAAACTAAGATTATGACAATTTTTTTCATGTAAAATCTTGTTGGGATTCGAAACCATAAAATCAAACCATCAGATGATCTAAGATGATATAATGCAAAGTTAATAGTTAAAATTTGATTTAACTAATGGTTTTCACAGTATTCGATCTCATAAATATAGAAGATTATTAAAAATTATGGAATTGGAGGGCTTAAAACTAAAGTCTGCATGTCTTTATCATATCATATGCTTTAATGCCAAACATAACCATGTGTCAAGCTGATAAAAGAACTCCTCATTAAATGCTTAAATGGCAACACTTGATTGGCTGAGGAAGAAACAAGAGGATAATCCACTGTAGACAAGCAACCTCAATTTTGTTAACGGATGATGGGATTTTTGGGAGGGTAAATGAAGAACATCTTCGTCTCCTCCACCACCACCACCACCCACTTCTCTCTCCCTTTCCTAAATTTCCAATCTTTACACTTTGCTTCTTCACTCCTCAAAGCCTAAGCCAGCCAAGATGATTGTGTAACAAAGGGAAAGAAACCCTAAAAAGAGTGATGATAGTTGCTTCCTACCATCCAAATCTTTGCTTTAATCCAACTCTATATAGACGCCAAAGAAAACCCTTTTTTTTGTTCCTTGGCTCTAAATTTGTTGACCCCAATAAAGGGTGGGAAAAGAGCATTATGACGGAAGTACTCCAATCATCCCCATCTCACTTCCCTTCATTTTCAAGCTCTAATGTAAGCACTGTGGGGAATATAATAGCCCAAGGGAGTGATCAAGAAGAAGAAGAGAATAGGCAAGAGGGAGAGAGGAAGGAAAGGGAAAGAGAAGGGGATCAGCTGTCTTTGTTAACGCTTTTCTTGGCTGCATTTAGGAAGTCTTTGATTGGGTGTAGCCTTTCTGGAAGTAAAGAGATTTGTTCAATGGAAATCGGGTTGCCTACGAATTTCAGGCATGTTGCTCATGTAACTTTTGATAGGTTCCATGGATTCCTTGGCTTGCCGGTTGAATTTGAGCCTGAGGTACCCAGAAGAGCCCCCAGTGCCAGGCAAGTTTATTTATGCAGATTCTTTATTTGTTTCTTTCTTGAAATTTATCATTGAAATTCAAATATGGGATATCTTTCATGGTTGTCAAAGGATTAGTGTTTTTATGACAGGAATACTAGGAAAAGGTTTATTATTTTTCCCTTTCTTTAAACTAAAGTTGTAAAAATCAACCCATTTTAGGAGCTTCAGACGATGATAAGTTTCTTTGAGCTAGAACTGGACAATTGCTTCAATTTGATGCAAATTTCTTCCCCAAAAGTTCAAGTCTTTCTCTTCATTGTATTCTTTTTAGCTTGCTGATGGTTTCTAAACCTTTTTCTTATATCATTTTGATGAATAAAAAACCTTACATGCAATATATCTATTCTACGTTTGTTTCATTGTGTGTGGTTCTCAGATCAAAGATCAAACTTTAAATTCTATAGTTGAATTCGATTGATTTCATTGAATGTGTGGAAATAAAAATGACCATCTTTTTTCTGTGACCATAGAATTTGTAAGGTCTTTATCATATCTGTGCCAGTTTTATTTCATTGACTAAGGTTCTCTTCTTGTGCAGCGCGAGTGTGTTTGGAGTTTCGACTGAATCTATGCAGCTTTCACCCGACTCTAGAGGGAATAGTGTGCCAACGATACTACTCCTGATGCAAAGTCATTTATATGCCCGAGGAGGCCTCCAGGTATATGACCATCGATCTTTTCTCTACTGTGGTCTATGACTATATAATTGCTTGAAGTATCCGGTTTTGTAGTTAACTTCTTATATATATAGGCAGAAGGAATTTTCAGAATTAATGCTGAGAACAGTCAGGAGGAGTATGTTAGGGAACAACTAAATAGGGGAGTTATACCAGATGGGATAGATGTACATTGCTTGGCTGGTCTTATAAAGGTATTTTCTTTGCTCTTTAATAGCCTTGGGTGTATTCAAGTATTTTGAACATGTTTATATCGTGTTCATAGGTGTCTCTACTTGTATTTTATCAGGCTTATTTTATTGACGTAATTAAAATATCGAGAATGAACCAAACTATTGAAAGAACTGATTCACGGGCTCAAAATGCTGCCAAGCTATCTGCAAATAATGTTGAGAACTTCCCCTGTTGAATGGATTTTTCAATTCAGTTGTGGTGTTTATGGTTTTGCAGGCTTGGTTTAGGGAACTTCCTAGTGGCGTTTTGGATTCTCTTCCTCCCGAGGAGGTAATGGAAGCCCAGTCAGAAGAAGAGTGTGCTCGGCTTGTAAGGCTCCTTCCTCCAACCGAAGCTGCTCTACTGGATTGGGCAATAAATTTAATGGCTGATGTTGTGCAAGTGGAACATTTGAACAAGATGAATGCACGTAATGTCGCGATGGTGTTTGCTCCGAACATGACTCAAGTGAGTAAATATCTTTCGGTAGTTCTAATTTAAATACACATTTTGAACTTGAACTTCATGCAAATTATCAGTTACTGAGTTTTGAGCCAGTTCGACACTGCTTGTCACAATGGATATTCACTACTGCTGTTTATTGCAGATGTCAGATCCTTTAACTGCATTGATGCATGCAGTCCAGGTGATGAATCTTCTGAAGACACTTATTATTAGAACACTTAAAGAAAGAGAAGATTCCATGATAGACTCTAATCCCGATTCTCGCTCAGAGCCGTCTGATAAGAATGGACAGCAGAGCTTTTCGCAATTACTCGAAGATGCCAATGAGGAGGTGAAAAACGAAAGTGAAGGAGAGAAAGCTTTTGTTGCTGAAGAACCTTCGGTAGAGAGCCCCCCTCACTCTGCTAAAGAGAATTTGACCACCGAAAGTAGCTCTCAAGGTTTCCTGACTACAATCGATAACACTTGTGGTGGAAACCGATCTACACTCGATAAGTGCTCTTGCACGTTAGTGTCTCAAGTGAATTCTTTAGCGAATGGACTCGAAAAAGGCGGTATCGGAAAGAACAGAGTTGATCAATCAAGTGCTTCGAGTCGAAAGAAGGGAACGAAAAAGGGAAATGAAGAATCAATGGAGAATGCAGGAGGAGGTGCTAGGAAGAATAAAGGAACAAGGATTGCTGGGCTGATAAATATGAGAGCCGAGCTTTTCGAAGCTTGGAGATGAATGAATGCTAACATTGTGTAGCCATGGGTGGCAAAATGCCAACTGCTAGTAACTTGTGTTCTGGTTTCTTTTTGTTCTTTCTCTTGGAAATATTGTGTATGAATTTATGCCTGATTTTGAGTGCAGTTTTTTTTCCCTTCTATTGTTCATCAAACTTATTGTTACTGTGCTGAAGTTAATAACATCTTTTCAACTAATTTTCACTTATTTAAAATAAAAAAAGGGAACCTTAAATTCAAATTCAAATACATATTTGAGAAAAAAAGGACTTAGACACTAGATTGATTTTTTTTTTTGCATAGAAAGACATTAAATTTAAAAAGGACTTTAGATAATCTTAATTTAAAAATAAAAATTCAATTATTATTTTAAATTTTTTAAAAAATCAATAGCTAAATTATGCATTGAAGTCAATTTAAATGTCAACTGTCAAGGGACAATAACAGGTACATTATTCCTATTGAATTTTATTCATGTCTTAAAAACATAAACAACAGTAAGCCCAAAAGAGGAAGATCTGGTCCAGCCCACCTGTTCTTCATTAACAATAACGCCAGCCTTTCAATTTCAATGCAAAAAACCCAAAACATGATTTAATTCTAAAGAGTTGTAAATTCTGATTCATTTTTGGTGTTTGGAAGAGCGTTGGAGATGAATATACGATGCTTTCAGCGGAATTTCTCTGCCGCTTTGCCTCCTCTGGTTCCCTTGCAGCTTCCGTCTCCTATGTAATGATTTCTTCCCTTGTAGCTAATTCGTTGATTCCCATTTACAACTTATGGTGTATATATGAACTCAATTAAAATGCCCTTTTGGGTGATAATCCGTGGGTGCTATATGGTTTTTGTGCTAAAGTTGTATTTTTTTTTTGTTTCAAGGGAAACCCATCTTTGGTACATATTACCAGATGAGGTGAAGAGTTGGGGTCTTTTGAATCAGTACTCTGAACTCTTATCCCCGTGTGAAAGCGAGAGTGTTAACCGAATGCGTGGAGACCAGCTAAAGAAAAGAGCTCTTCTTGCTCGAGCCTTGGTTCGCACTACCATTGCCAGATGTAGGTTTTCTTATTTTTCCATTTTCTTCTTCTTCTTAGGCTGTTTTATGAAGTGGTGAAAGGCAATCAATATATCTGATGATATTTTTATCCATATCTGGGTTCGTGCCTGCATTGTCAATGGTTAAGAAAATTCTAAACAAATACTACTACGTCTTAAATCACCCTAGACTATTAAAAGAAAGTAATCATTTTTGTTCAATATATTGCTGATGTATAATCCTAATACTTGATCTGATTTTCCCTTCGACATGTGGAGTTTCAAGCTATTACTTACAGTTCCTGTCTAGGTTCACACTTTCAAACAAAAGCTATAGTCTTGTCATTATTTTCCAAGTATTATGTGTATTTTGTTTCAGTGGTTTACCACCAATTGCTAATTAACAATACAATGTGAAGATTTCTATCTGCAAAGAACGTTTTCGGATAGCATTTCTTAGCGACTCAAGATTTTTTTATTGTCATATGCTTTGCATGGACCGCTTACATAGTTTTTGTATTGCTAGATCAGACAAATTGTCAAATGAATCCCAGATGTTTGAAATTTAGGAAGAATTTGTACGGGAAGCCTGAGGTAAGATCCATCTTAGATTTGCAGTATTTTTTTGTTCAAGGACATTGGCTTAATATCTGTTGAATTCATATTTTCGAATATCTTTTTATGGTCTTGCTTATCTTGTTCTTTGTTCCCTATTTAAATAGGTGGAGTGGCGAAACGAGGACAATTTCAGCCCACTGCCGTTGCATTTTAATCTATCACACACATCTACTATGATTGCTTGTGGTGTCACTGTAAATGTGCCAGTAAGTCCTATATGTTGTTTAATTGTTGTTGTGAGATTTCACATGCATCTGCTTACAACAATAGGTATGTTGGGTTTTTTGTTTTGAATTTCTATTGCCATGCATGCTTAAACTCGGTGTTGTTTGCTTTCTGTAATCGTAGATTGGCATTGATATTGAAGAGAAGCAACGAAGGACAAAGAACAATTTAATAGCCTTTGCTCAACGCTATTTTTCGGCTTACGAAGTGAAAGTTTTAACTGCTATATCTGACCCTGAAGTTCAGCGTCAGGAGTTTATCAAATTATGGACTCTCAAAGTAATCAAGATACCGATACTAATTTCCGTCTTGAAGCATGACATATGTGACATGTTTTCATTTTTTCCTAATTGTTTTGCAATCTGATTCTTATTTCCAGGAGGCATATGTAAAGCATTGGGAAAAGGCTTTTCGGCGGTACCTTTCAAGACCTTCACTATTCGATTTAGGGAGGCAACTTTGCGGAACTTTCATCCTCCTGGAAGTTCAGTTTCTGAGGTTTGTACAATTTGGTATATATGGAATATGAATAGAGAAATGACATCGTTGAATATGTATGACTGAATTGTATCGGAACTTTTTGATTAACACTGGTTACGTTGACAGGCGTCTGATATAATTGTTGAATCATCCGATGACCCCAGGAATCCTACAAACAATTGGCAATTCACACTCCTGGAAGTGGCTGGTTCTCACTATGGCGCCATTTGTATCGAAAAGGATATAACTGCTGGAGGTAAGATTCTGATAATCGGTGTAATAGTTGTGGAATACATGTTTGCTAAAACATCAACAATTTGTTTGTGTGAAGCAAATGCACCAATGAAACTGACCGTGTGGAAAACCATTCCTTTTGTTGAAGATGTTTGTGTCTCCGGAACCGACGCAGTCGTAGACCTAGGTCGCATAATCGAGCAATAGCAGCAATGCACTGGAATGGCAAAAACTAATGTAACATTATAAAATCCGACGACGTTGTAATCTGTATTATTCTCAACTACTGTTTTGAGACTTCGAGTATAAGAAATCAATGTATGAACATATACTATCTCTGAAGTGGTGGAAACGGGTTGCATCTCTAACAAGTTGACGATCCACAAACTTACTGACGCCCTTGAGAAATAAATGGCAATCCTCAAAACTTACTGACGCCCTTGAGAAATAAATGGCAATCCTCACATATCCTTAGGTTCTTTATCACAACAATCTCTGTCCCTGGCTCCGAGTTCAACAATCCAAACACAATTGCCAACTTTTCACTATGAACACCCATCCCGAGTAAATGTTCTTTGTTCCTCCTTTCTTCATTGCCTTTGCAGTCATCAAGTTTCTTTACCAAACTTTCCAGCTTATCTACCATTCTATATATCTCCTCTTTTTGGGGGTGACTTTTGTCTCCGGCTAAGAAAAGGTGAACTCTCCCTTTATATTCGAGATAGCTAAAACCCGGATCCTTTTTGAGCTTTTGATCTCTCATCATTACTCTAAAACCTTCAATACTCCCTCCAAATTCTCGGCTTCTGAATAAATATTGGATAGCAGAACATAATAACCGATATTCATGGGCTCAAACTTGATAACTTGTTCGAAAGCCAGCTCTGCTATCTCTACATTTCGGTGAATTTTGCAGGCACCCAAAAGGGCTCCCCATACTGCTCCATCTGGTTTTACCTGCATTGATTTGATGAGCTCCAAAGCTTCATTCAGGCGACCAGCCCTACCTAGAAGATTCAACATACAAGAATAATTCTCTGGACCTGGCTGCAAACGATGCTTCTTCTTCATCTCGGCAAAATAATCCAAGCCTTTTTCGGTCAACCCGCATTACTACATGCACATAAAACACTCACAAATTTAGCACCATTAGGTCGAATACCACTCTTAATCATCTCATCGAATAACTCGACCGCAATCTCTCCATATCCATGTATTCCATATCCACCTATAATCGCTGTCCATGAAACCAAAGTTTTCACGGGCATGCCATCGAAAGTGGCTCGAACTTTAACCAAATTACCACACCTAGCATACATATTAATCAGTGCATTGTTTAAAAATGGATTAAGACGGAGTCCACTAGACTCGATTCGCTGTTCAACGTCACGGCCAACACTAATAGCACCGAGGTGTGCACAAGATGATAAAACCCCAACAAAAGTAACCCCATCCGGACGAACTCGGCACCTTCCATTTTCTTATAGAGTTCCAAAACATTAGCTGCGAGCCCATTCTGTGCGTACCCTGAAATCATAGCATTCCAAGTAATCAAACCCTTCTTGGGCATTTCATCAAACAAATTCCTTGCCAACTCAATGGCTCCACATTTCACGTACATTGTAAGTATACAATTAGCAACAGAGAAATCAAGATTCAACCCCAATTTCACACAACAACAATGAAAAGACATCCTTAAACTTATGTACCCGGGTTCCGAAAGCACCGGAATCAAACCCAACATTGTAACTAAATTAACAGGAAGACCCATTTCCATCATTCTACAGAACAAAGCAATAACATAGGAAACCCGAGAATTTAACGCGTACCCGGAAATCAAAGCGTTGTAGCAAACCGTTAGTTGATTCGATATCGGGTTTTCATCGAACACCTTGCGGGCGTTTACGAGGGAATTGAATTTGCAGTACATTGAGATGAGAGAAGTGATAACAAAGGGTTCCGGGGAGCATCCGGACTTGATGACCTGGCAGTGGAGTTGTTGGCCGGAGAAAGGAAGGTGAAGGGAAGCGGAGGGTTTGAGAGCGAAAGGGAAAGAGAAGGCGTTTGGAGTGGAGCCGCAACGCATCATTTGGCGGTAGAGAGTCAGAGCTTGAAGGTATTGGCATTGCTTTGCCAACTCTCTTAACTGAGTGTTCCATGGAATCCAAGTCATAGGAAGCAAAAAAGAAAGAAAAAAGGAGGAGGAAACGGCGGCGAATGCCGTTTTTACCTTTTTTTTCAGTTGGGGGAGAGAAGAAAGAGTAGTAGTAAAACCCTGCGTGGAGAGTGATGGACACGTAATGCTGTACGATTGGATTTAAACTGGGGCGTAAAATAGAAAAGGTAAACCGCGTGGCAGGGAATTCAAGAAGAAGACAATGGATTATATCTAATCAGAAAGAAGTGAAAAAAAAAAGGAGCGGCGATGGAAGCCATGCAACTTTCGACCGTCGCTGCCGGCAAATTCTCGGTGACTTCGGGTTCCTTTCCAGCCAAACGGTGCTTCTACAACAGTCCGAGAAACTCAACTGAACTTGGGAGTTCATGGAGTACATGTCCCAGCAATTACGCTTCCCTTTCTTGCAGGAATTACTTCTCTGTAAGAAAAAGGAAGTCGACAGTTTTAAAGCAAGAAATAACCTCCCTTTCGCTTTTTCAATTTCTAAAACTTTTTTTTTTCTTTCTCTTTTTGGGTTGGATGGCAGAGAGAGATATGGGGGTGGGTAAATTCCAAGACGGTTACTTTAAGGAGAGAAATGCGAGGTGTTGTGAGAGCTGAAATGTTTGGTCAGCTGACGAGTGGCCTCGAAGCTGCTTGGACCAAACTTAAAGGAGAAGGTTTGCCACTCCGAAGCTAGAGCATAAAAGAGAAGTGTTTTAATCATTAAAAAAGATTTATTTTTATTGTGTTTCAGTGGTTTTGACGAAGGATAATATTGTGGAGCCAATGCGTGACATTAGGAGAGCCCTTTTGGAAGCAGATGTAAGTGACTGAGTTGTGTTCTGGAAAATTCTTGGGGGTTTTCCTCAATTCACTTTGTAGTTCACGTATTAATAACACGTTTTTAGTGTCTTTTCATAGGCGAGTCTTCCTGTTGTTAGACGGTTTGTCCAAGCTGTAAGTGACCAGGCTGTTGGAGTTGGTCTTATTCGAGGGGTGAAGCCGGATAACAATTGGTTAAGGTATGATCATTCTATCAACAAAACGAACTTTGCTTAGGAATTCTCTAAGGAAGGCTTTTATGAATTCGCTTAACATGTTTGGTTCAGCAGGATCTTGCATTCATTCTTGTTAAAAAAAAGAACAGTCTTATTGTCTCTGATTTTTTATTTATACAAACCACATATGTCTTCCTTGGTTGTAGATTGTACACGATGAGTTGGTGAAATTGATTGGAGGAGAGGTTTCTGAACTGGTGTTCTCAAATCTGGCCCCGCTGTTATATTATTGGCTGGTCTGCAGGGAGTTGGGAAGACAACCGTTTGTGCGAAGTTACCTAATTATCATAAGAAACAGGTTCCGTTTCACGTATAAATAATTTTAGCAGTTTTCGTTAAGCCTCAATTTACAATGGAGCGTAATGTTGACTACAGGGTAAGCGTTGCATGCTTATTGCTGGAGATGCGTATAGACCTACTGCTATAGACCAACTTGTTATTCTGGGTGAACTGTTATAGGACTTAATCGTCAATAAAATGTCTTATAGTTATGAATAATGGATCTATTGGGATTAAATCTCAACTAAAATTTTCACCCATTAAATTTATGATTAGTGATTTAGGAATATATATATTTAGGGGTTTATGTATTCAAGGGTTTAGGATGACGATAAAGACGATAATTGATTAGTTGGTGGGACGATAGAGACGATTGAAATTAGAGATTTCAGGATTTTAAGATTTTTTTTATTTTTTTAAAGAAATTTGGGTTTTTTTTTATAATTTTTATCTCTTTTTAAAAATTAAAATTTCAAAAAATTTATATATAAACACGACACATGTCATTCAACAAACTTTTTTAATGGCTGTTACGGTTGGAACACTTAAAATGATAACTTTTGTAACATTAAACAATTATATTGACAAAAAAAAGTTTAGGGACCTGAATGGAGAGAAAATATATATTTTGGACACTTATTTTTATATTAAGCTTTTGATTAATTTATTAACTGTAACACCCTAAACACATTCGGGCTTAAAGTGTCACACACCAGTGTCCAGTAGATCCATTATTCATAACTATAAGACATTTCCTTCAACATTCAACAAATTGTTTTAAAACAAAATGGTACATACAAATTGATTTATTTTAAATATTAATTTCAAAAGTGGAGCACCATCTATATCAGTGTCAACTTAAAAAAACATTAATTTTAAAACATTTCACAACAAAATACACTACGATTACCGATACCAAATGTCTACATAGATACACCAGTCAGACAAGATAATTCAATATTTACAGAGTGAACCACTAGTGTCTAGTAATGTACCAATTATTATATTGAGATTCATATATCATAAACAAAATAGGTAATGTAAACAATCAGCGCATGAACTATATGCACCCCTAGACCCGGCATGGACGTTAGGCCCAAATCTAGGCGGTCACATATCGCATTCAGATTTTTTTTTTCATATTTAAAACAACGTTAAAATTCATAAGAAAGATTTATATTGATAAACATATATGTATACATATGTCAGAAAATTGTATAAAACACACATATATATATATCAAAATACCTCATAAAACTGTATAAAACATATACGGAACAAAATACCGGTAATACAAATATATCAAGACGGTAGCAAAACAAATGTCACCAAATATAAAAGAAAGGTATATAGAAATATATAGTGGTACAAAATTAGGAGAAGTCGGTCCTCCTGATGCCAAGTTTGCTAGCCTAGTATGCTATTATCTGAAAAGGTTAAAATTTACGGAATGAGATAAAAAGTTTAGTTTGCTCCTTACAGTGTATAAAACCATACCTATAAAATATTTCACTAAAATTGGTTTATCAAACATGTTTTAAAACACATGAACACTACCCCCGTCCGATCACCAGAATGTGTAGGTTCCCCAGAACCATACACCCACCTGTACACCCAGTAAGGACTTACCCTGTGCACAAAGCAGATGAGCCTGCAGTAAGGTCTTATACTGTGCACAAAGCAGAGGAGCCTGCAGTAAGGACTTACCTTGTGCATAAAGCTGAGGAGCCTGCAGTAAGGACTTACCCTGAGCACAAAGCAGAGGAGCCTGCAGTAAGGACTTAACCTGAGCACAAAACCGAGGAGCTGCGGAAATCGGTAAGGTCTTACAAGTCATTAACTAGGCCTGAGATACTTCCTCCAATAATACCCCCAATGACATAATAACATGTATATATTTGAATGAAAATGGTAATTTAATCCATTAAAACATGAAAATATTCGATTTTCAGAAATCATATACGAAAATATGCTAGTCCATAGATCATATCAGAAATATACAGTAAATCAAATATCAGATAAATTTTGTTTAGAAAATTACGTATTGTGTCGTAAAAATATTTAATATTATCAGAAATCTCAAATAGTTCAGATAGATAGTTGAAAACAATAATGTAACACCAACATGAAACACACCTGTATTGATCTAAATAGTATGATAGGGAAGCCTACTACTGATTCTGTCGATCACGATTAAAGGTAGCGCTAGATCCTACAAATAGGAAAATCCATATCGGAATCCTAATAATAATAATATTAACCTTTATTTAAATAATTTATGGAAACCTACGGGTAGCTCTCGAGAAACACGAATCGTGAGGATATGACGGACGGGAAACACCGGACCTAACTGACCCTTGGTCAGGTGAAACACGAGTACCTTCATAAAAATATCTTCTTGGATCAATTCCATAACCAAATCTCAAATAAATAAGCAAAAATGCTAAAAACACTAAGCATTTTTGGGTTAACAAGCTCGATTTGGGGGCTTTTGGGTCAGAATTTGGCGAAATGGACTTCAGAATTGGACTTAGGACATCGAAAAACATAAAATACGACTTTTCAAAAAATTTGACTTTTTGGGTCAAAGTCAATGGTTCATGTTGGACCAGGTCAAGCAGGAGGGTCGAACACGGGTCAACAATTCGGGTCAGTGGGTCGGGTCGGATCGACCAATTTCCAAGCAGTCCACCAGGCGGTGGACTTTCCCCACGCACAGGGGTGGCGCGTCCAGGGCTATAGGGGTTGAAAAATTTCTTAAAAAAAATTCTAAGTGTGTTTTAAGGGTTTTTGAGACACTTACCAAACTCGTTTCACAACAGTGAACGACGGAGAGTTCGATTTTGAAACGTCAGAAACTTGATATTCCTCACCCCCTCACACACCGATGACAATAGAGATAAGAAGAACATTGGTGGACTCGGGATGACGCAAGGAACACGATGGTATGGTAAGTGTCAAAAATGGAGTAATGATCGTCAACGAAACAACGATCAAAGATTTGTTTCTAAAAGAGAAAAATATTAAATAGAGAGAAAATAAAATAAATTAAAATTTTTCTTGGGGTTATATAAACCCTAAAAAAGAAAATGGCAAAATATGCCATAGGTCCTCCATATTTAGTTGCTTTCTGAAATTGGATCCAAAATTTAATCAAAATTTCACTTTGGTGCTTGAATTTAATCAAAATTCAATTTAGTCATCGAATTTTTTTAAAAAGAATTTTGGGCCCTATTTTGGGGTGTGACAACTCTCCCCCTTAAAAGAAATTTCGTCTTCGAAATTTACCTGATGTAAACAGATACGAAAATTGAGCCATCGTTGACTCCAATGTCTCCCAAGTAGCTTCTGAGGGGCCAAGGTTACTCTATTGAACTTTGACCATCGGAATACGCCTATTCTGAAGATCTCTCTCATCCCGATCTAAAATCTGAACGGGCTCCTCCTCATAAGACAAATCAGGTCTGAACTCTACCTCCTCAACATGAATGATGTGATATGGACCTGGACAATATCACCTCAACATGGATACATGAAAAACATCATGAATGCGACTGAGCTGGAGAGGCAACTCAAGCTGATAAGCAACATGTCTGACTTTATTCATAATACGATACAACCCAATAAATCTCGAGCTCAATTTACCCTTACGTCTAAATATCAACACTTTCTTCCACGGAGATACCTTGAGAAAAACTTGATTCCCAACCTCAAACTCGATATCATTCTGTCGCTAATTTGCGTATGGTTTTTGCCTATCAAATGCCTCTCTCAGGCGATCACGGATCAATCAGACAGTATCCTCAGTTTCTTGAACTAACTCTGACCCAAAGTCTTTCTATCATGCAAATATATCCAACATATAGAAGTACAACATCTACGTCCATACAGAGCCTTGTACGGTGCCATGCAAATACTTGCATGGTAACTGTTATTATAAGAAAACTTGGATAAATACAAGAAATCTTCCTAACTACCATGGAAATCAATCACACAACCCCGTAACATATCCTCTATCACCTGGATCAATCGCTTAGACTGATCATCAGTTTATGGGTGAAAAGTTGTATTGAAATTCAAACGAGTACCCAGAGCCTCGTGCAAAGCCTATCAGAACCTGGAAGTAAACCTCGGATCTCGATTAGATATGATAGACAACATAACACCATGAAGTCTAATGATCTCGGAAATGTACAATATAACCAGCTTGTCCAAAGAATAATTAACCCAAACAAGATAAAGTGAGTTGACTTGGTGAGTCGATCAACAATCACCTAAACATAATCCTTTTTGGAAGGAGTCATAGGAAGTCCGGTAACGAAGTCCATCGTAATGCGCTCTTATTTCCACTTAAGAATCTTAATTGATTGTAACAATCCAGACGGATGTTGGTGCTCTGTCTTAACATGCTGACAAGTTAGACACTTCGTCACAAAATCTGAAATATTCTTCTTAATACCAGTCCAACAGTAGCGCTCTTTGAGATTCTTGTACATTTTTTCCCCGCCAGGATTCATAGAATAAGGACTACTATGAGCCTCCTGAAGAATAGCCCGTCTCAACTCATCATATTTAGGGATGCAGTAACGACATTTAAAGCACAAAATACCATCCTGATCCAAAGTATACTATGAACTCGATCCCTGCTCAACCTGTTCAACAATGGGAAGTAATGAGTTGTTTGGCCTTAATCTCCTCAGCCAAAGTGGGTTTAACTTACAACTCTACTAACAGACTGGCGTCATCAAATAAACTCAAGCTGGCGAACAAGACCCTCATATCAAATATCACCTTACGACTCAAGGCGTCGACCACCACATTAGCCTTCCTTGGATGATACTCTATTTTACAATCATAGTCCTTTAGAAGCTCCAACCAGCGACGCTGTCACAAATTCAACTTTCTGAGTAAGCAGATACTTTAGGCTCTTATGATTAGTATAGATATAACACTTATCTGGATCAACCAAAGTGGGTTTAACTT